AAATTTATATGCAATGTAAATTGCCATCTTCAGTCTTCCTGAATTTTGTTCCTTTGTTCTTTTCTTCACTTCTCATCATTAAAGTCTTCTCCTTTTCTTTCATTCCCTTTAAGTCCCTTTCAACCTAGTGGTATTATTGGTTTGCTTGGGGTGAAATGATTAAAAAAAAAAGAAGAGAAACAGTTTCCTAAAACTGAAATAATTTGGATAATGTGTAATCAAATTTTGTACAGATTTTTGCTCATACTCTTTCTAAATCAATGTCCAAACTTTGATCAAGACAGTAGAAACTAGGGTATTGGGTTAAATAAATATATTTTATTTTATTTATTTTTTTTGTGCTAGAATTTCTTGAAATTTTGAAGAGCTCTTAATTTATCACATGTAATAAAATTTGTGTCTAGTCAATGTTTTATCAAGTCTAGAGAAAGTTTTTTTTTCTTCTTTCATTTTATGAATACCATATAAAGATGTAAGAATTATTCTGGCTATTACAAATAGTAAAGTGCATACTGTATTTTTACAACTAGAATGAATGACATCAATATATGACATTTAACAACCAAGTTTCATTTAATGCTTTTACCACCATCATTTTCTTCATACCTATACAGTTAATTTATTCTTCTTGGTTCATATGTATATATCTATTTACTATATGAGAGTATTATGTACATGTAGAAGTCATCTTTCCTCACTCTGAGGTGGAGAAGATATAAACTGATTTCTTTCTGTTGAACCAAAAATAAAAAAAAAATGGCTGAGATTTTGTTTCTTACAAGGGAGATAACCGGTATATATACTGTTTGGTTTTGAGTGGGGAAGCATTTTAAGTAAGATGATAGCATTGCTTTAAGATTTATATTCTTTTTGTTAATTTTACAGTTGTATTTTCTAATATTAAATATTGACCTTGTGTGTTCCCCACTTCAATGGTACAGACTTGGTTATCTTGAAAGTGGAATTGGAATGGTAAGCAGTGATGGCATATACTCTAAAACCATTATAAAGATTTAGAGATGGAATTAGCAAATACTAAACACTTCAAATACCTTGGTGCATGGAGTAGTTATAAAAAATTTAGCATAGGTTATAAGGAAATTGAAAATAGGATAACTGTGGTAGGAATAGTTTTGTCCAATACTTCATGATGCTACCAAATCAAAATGTTAACCTGAATACTCTAGTCATGTTTTTAGATAGGATAGTTTCACATAATACCACAAATTGCTACAAAACCGAAACATTAACATAAAAATTTGTCCTGTTCTTAAATGGTCTTGTCAGATATACTTATTCTGAATGGTGCCAAAACTGTTAAGAAATAACTAGACTATCAGCCATATACAACTGTTTTCTCAGGTTGATGGTTAAAGATGGCTTTGAGTCAATGAAGCCTGTAGGTCTTAGTAAGGATAAACCTTCTTTGAAATTTGTGAACTGGTATTACAGAATTACAAAGGACTGTACCAAATTGCAGAAACCACATCACTTGAGGACTTTCAACAATAGCAACTAATATCGCATGTAACTCAAAGTGAAAATAATGACATAATCTAGATGTTGACCTTTCACAAAATTTCAATCAAAAGGTTAGGAAAGAAGTCTCTATTAAAGAACAATAACCGTGGATTTGAGAAACCTATTTTCTTGAAACATTGTTTTAGTAGAATGTAACAGAAAATCAGGTCAACCCGATAAGAGTTGGTTGCATGTGGTGCTGTAAACATCAGGAGTTACATCCTCTTCCACAATGGACTGTTGAGAGAGTATATTCTACTTACAGCAGGTGGAGCTATTTCCATATGAATGGTACCAGGCAGGTATTAGTCAATAGTCAACATGGGTCTGGGACTGGGAGAGCTATATAAAACCATTTTTTTTTTCTTGGTTGCAAAGGAGCACTCTCAACATGTGGACATGCAGAAAACCAGACAAGACGAACACACAGAAAGATTTTGTAAATTTCAACTGAAAGTATTACAGACTGCTTTGTCAATGTATACTGACTGTTTCCTTGCAAGGAATTACCATTAAGATAATGCATAATTTAAATATAAATCATTTAATAACACATAATATTGAATTATTGTTAACACTTGTTATAAAATGACTAGTTTAATTTTTTGATTAAAAACATGTCAATATTTAAGTAATTTTTCACTTTCATTGGTTTATTTTAATGACTAATCTAGGCATTTTATATTGATTTATTGTTGCATGTGATCATTCTGCTTTTTAAATCAATACATTTTCTTTTTAAGAAAGAAAGCTAACAGAAGACGAGTAAAAAAAGAAAAAGGTCAATGTATTCACAGCTTTTTTTTTTTTTTTTTTTTTTAACCATCACTTACTAATGAGATTTTCTTAAGGTGGCATCTGGTATATATTACTATGGTCCACTTATACCAATGTAGGTAGAGATAACATGTGGCAGTGAAGCGGCATATTTATTACAAAACTAAACTACAATACAAATATAGAACAAGGGACAAAAATTTCTTTTTTTTTTTTTTTTTTTTGTCATCATTTCTTTTATTCTAGCTAAATCAACTCTTAGACATTGATCACTCACAAGACTTGATGAATTTAAAATCTCTACCAAAGATGCATTATTAGTCTTGCAAAAAGCTTCAGGCCACCTGGATAATTGAAATATCTCCTGGAGCATAGCTGCTATTAAAACACCAGAATCAGCTGCTTCACTGAATGTAAGAATCTCTGAGGCTAACAAACTCTTTGTTACTCTATCAAATTTTTTTGATGACCAACAGCATATTTGTTTATTGCTCTCTCGTAATACCTTTTGTTACCATAACTGAATGTCATTAATATGAGATAAGCTTATGACCACATCACTTTGAAGCACTGGTTCCTGTACAATCACCAAAGTTAAGCAATGTGAAGCCTAATCAGTACCTAGATGTGTAACTACTTGGGAATACCAGGTGCTTAAGTTTAAATGTGCAGATGGTGTAATTAATAATGGCTATTGTTAATCAGAAAGCTGAGTTCCAATTCCGGTTGGGTTTGTTATATTCACTTACACTCAAATATCCTTGGGAATGGTATGAATCCACCTCTTACCCCCCCAGCTATGGGTTAATTCAAGACAGTTTTTCTCTCCAGAATCCATCCTACATATTTACAAATCTGCTATTTATCTCTGCTTTAAATATTGCTACCACATATAGTCTGGTGTTTCTGCTATATATTTAGAGATTCTTGATAAAATCTCAAGAATTTGCATTGTTATTGGTCCTGGTCTGGCATCTCATCTTCGCTTTCCCACCACCATAATATAGCTTCCCTGTACTTTTTCTATAAATACTTTCTTAGGAATTGTTCTGATTAATTTTCCTCTATGGTACCTAACCTTTTATGAATTTAAGCTCAGTGCTAAATTGGCAACAAGATATTATAAATTTACAGGTGAATTGGCTAGATGTAACCATAGGTTCTATGCTAACAGTTTCTTCTCTCACACTTCTTGCTTGTGGAATTCTCTTCTGATTTTTGTTTTCCCGCCAACTTTGATCTTCAAAAATTTAAATGCCATGTCGGTTATCATCATCTGTCTTAATTCCTTTTTTTATTGTTCTTGCTCCATAATGTTTTTCTTTTTCTTATTCTTTCACATGCAGTAACATCCTGGGTCTAAGTGACATAACTGACTTGCTAGGGGTGAAATGATTAAAAAAAAAACAAAAAAACTTGAAGGATTTTCTTAATGGATGGGGGTATCTGTCAACAAAGGTGTGTCACACCTCTGGAAGGATGGAAAAATCATTAGCAATGAATCAAACATTAAAGGAGCTGAACACACTGGATAACAAGGAGCAGACTTCCATACAAGAATACCAAATGTAAGGAACAAACATCACAAAAACACTGGAAACACAAACAAGGAGGAATGAATTTTACACAATGCTGGGTAACATGGACAGATATCCTTGGCAATGCATAACAATCATGTTACATGTTCAGCACAGAAAATGTGTTTTCATGGGACTCAAAATATTAGCAGTTGGCTAGCAAAAGGAATTGTTTGCATAGCTAACACTGCTTAGCTCACCATCCCATCTATTTCATGGGGAAGCTGGTAGATATTTTCTTTCTTCTTAACCAGATATCCTAAGGTTTGCATTGGCTCTGTTCTTTCTGAGCAGCCATTTGGTTTAATTCTTAAGAGACAGCACACTAAGCATCAACTCTTTGACTGACAGGTGTTAGGAACTGTTATCAGTAACCATAGGCAGCTCCATCTGTACTTCATTTCCATTATACTTGTATCACTAAATCATTATCACACTTTCCCCCAAATAAAAAAAATTCTTTCAATCTAAAAATATTTTTCTGGCTTTAAATAACCAGCAAAGAGTTGGTAAGCTGTAGAAAACAATCAATCATTAACATGAAGTCATGCTCTATGACCAATAAATGTTTTACTATGTTTTTATATTATATATAACCTATACAACTTGCTTGTACGTTTCCATTATAAATCTCTATATAGTGGGTCAGTTTTATACATTTGGGTGGGATTTACTATTGGCTATATATTTATAGCTTAATAGCAATTTTCAATAGTAATTGTTAATTTGTTGCTTGTTATAAAGAGAATTTTTTACTATATAACTGGCTATAATATAGAATTGCTCTTTGCCATGAATTTGGATGGAATTCAAATGACCAGTTTATGTAAAGATCTGCTTAAGTGAATGTAAAAAAAAAATCACTTAAAAATAAAAAACAAAATGTGTGCATCAATTATAGCCTTACAGATAATCATTATCTAAATTTTGATTTAAAATTTTCACTGTATGATACTCAATCAGTGTGATTAATATTCACAACTGAATTAAATGCATTGACAAGAAAGATTGTGTTGTATAAAATAAATGCCTTTTTTCATCATTAGGTTAGGTCATAGATTTATTTATATATCTACATACATTTTATAGTATAGGAAAGGCATGAATTATCAAATGAAACTAGGCTTATGGCCATATCACGTTGAACCATCAGCTCCCATAAGATCACTGAATTTAAGCAATGTTCAGCCTAGTCTGTACCTAGATGGGTGACTGCTTGGGAATACCAGGTATTGCAAGCTAGGATATGCGGGTGGTGTAATGAATAATGGCTCAAAATTGTTAACTGGAGAGCAAATTTCAATTTCAGTTGGGTTTGTTATATTCACTTATGCACAAATAATCTTGGAATAGGTATGAATCCACCTCTTCTCCCCTCAGCTATGGGTTAATTAGTAAGACTTGTATCAGTAAATCCTTATCTTAAAAAAAAAAAAATTTTACACTTTTAAATATTTTCTGGCTTTAAATAACTAGCAAATGATTAAGTTGTTAAAAAAACAAAAAAAAAAAAACAAAATGGAATCATTCATACACATGATTCATGTACACATTTGGTTGTGGTCTAGTTGGGGGTGAAAATAAAGTCCTTCCCCCACAAATAATTGTTGTTAGTCTTGTGTCCATATGAAGACATTTTATACTCTAGCTGATCACAGTAGAATTGTATTAATACCATCATTTTAGTATTAAGGGAAAAATTATAAATTTCTAAATAACAAAAGGATTTGAGATATTATGAAAAAGGGCTAAAAATTTCTCCTCCTGAACAAAGAGATTAACCTCAAAATTTTGACATTTGGCCAGATTTTGATGAGTTGGGTAGATGACTTTTCTCTTAGTTTCCACGCCTTACTTAAGAAAGCGTGATTTTTTTTTTTTTTTTAAATAAATAAAAAAAAATAATAATAATAATGATAAAATGTGTGAGAAAGACAATTATTTTTTCTTTTTTTGTGTTTGATAAATATATTTGTCAACCTCCATAGACATTAAATTTGCCACATGGTCAATGAATTAATGCCAATGCTTTGTTTGATGAGAAGCTACAGTTTTTATTTTCTTTCTGCCTTGAGAGAACTTTTTTAAAAAAAAAAAAAAAAAAAAAAAATCTGCCTTCTATACAGACTTTGCATCTGGGGAATTTTGTCTATCCATTTTCTATTCAAAAAGATTACCCTGCTATTGATTGCTTGTAAACTGGTATTCTCTTCAAAGAGGTGCTATCCTATTCATAAAGTGTAGCAGCTGTACCAGTGCCATTGCCAACAATGGAGGAGTTGTGGGTGTGAGCAGAATGATACTTGTACTGAGAACACATGAGGACAGTTCCAGTCTGTGTGCAAACCTTTGTATACAGACAGTAGTAATACATTCTGTTCAAGTGGACAATAGTCTGCTAGATAAAAATGTCAGTGTATTTATTTTCATTCATAATTCAAATCTTTGGGCTTGAAAATATAATTTCCAACTTTATAATCAATATCAATTTTTTTCTTTTCTTTTTTTTTTTTTTTTTTTTTTTTTTTTTTTTGTCAAAGCATTAATATAATTATTGCCAAGAGTAAATGTAATAATTTTTTAAAATTAATATATATACATACATATTAGGTGTATTTTAATAAATATGCTGTAGTTTATAATTGATATAATTTAGTATATCTAAAAAAAAAAAAAAATTATTAATAGTCACTAGACAGTCCTGTGACTTGTTTGGTATCTCTTTGAAAGATTAAGACAAAAAAAGATTTTCATTGAATTTGCTCTCTTGCAGATTACATTACTTTCTGTATATATATTTATATTTTTTTTTTTTTTTTTTTTTAATTGTTTGGCACACAGATTTTTCTTTGTTATTCTTATGTAAATAAATAAGATAGTACTCTATAATTGGCATTTTACTGAAAAGAATATGAAAATTCACATTGGTAAATACTGGGCCACCTTGAATAAAACTGTAATCTGGAAATCTGATCTACCAGACAACGTCAGATTTTTTCATGCCACTGTAGAGGCAGTGGTAATGCTTGTGGCACTGCCTGGACATTAACTAAAACCCTAGAGTCTAAGCTTGATGGAACCTACACTCGGTTGCTGTGAATTATACTTAACATCTCTTGGTGACAACATCCAACTAAATCACAGCTCTATGGACCCATCCCTGATATTTCTACAATCTTATATGAATGCAGAATGTGCTTTGCAGGACACTGCTTGTGAGCAAAACAAGAACTTGCACATTATCTACTGCTCTGGATACCTTACCATAGTGCAAGACAGCTTGGTTGTCCAGCAACCACCAACATTGACCAGCTATGTTATGACAGAATGCCACCCTAATGACCTTCTGACCTTGATGCAGGACTTTGATGGTTGGTGTGATACACTCATGAATATCTAAGCTAGGTCGACCAAATAAGTTATCTAATTTTAGGTTTTTTCTAGTTCAGTGTGAACACTGACTCCACAGTATTATTGGAGTGAGAGAAAAATAAATATATAAGAATAAATATTTAACAAGACTGAAATATCACCATCTCAAAAAATACAGATAATAAAAATTGCCAAGCAAACAAAGCCATAGTTCGACCAACCAATCAGAAAGCTTTCACATTCAGGCCATAAAGCGGCTCACCAATGAGAAGCAAGCAATCTTTCAAAGCAATTCTCTATATAAACAGATGGAAAATCAAACAAAATCAATCCATAAATTAATTTTGTCCATTCTTCAATGCTGCAGTCATCATAACATATCCAGAAATGAAATACGACTACCTGGCAACCTTAGATGGCTAACCCATCCTTGCTACATAAAGCACAGTGTATGGATGTTCGTCCATTTTTCAATCTCTGTGAATCATAAACAACCTGAAGTAACAGGTAGCAACTACTGTAGTTACATGTGATTAAAAATTAAGCAGGGCATGGTACATTGCTCATGTTCTTTTACTAGCACACATACTATGACATATTAGAAATATTACATTGCTCGGATTCCCTAATGTCTTTTTAAGAGTGACTATATATGAAGAGATCATAAAGAATGGTGATTTTTTAAAAGAAAATAAAAATTGCGCACAAAATAAATGGAAACAAACTATAGAGATCAGTTGCATATACAAAGAAAGAATATGTTTAAGTTGTTGAATAAAGATAATTTTATTTCTAAATTCTTAATTTTTACATACATAGGACACTGAAAATAAAAGGATGAAGGTTCAAAAACCTTCTGCAGGAACTAGTAAAAAATAAACGTACCTTCTCTCACTATGTGGTCAAGTGGCAGCTACTACATTTGGAGATATATATATTATTTAACTAATGGATTATATTAAACAAAAAATATTTTTCAAAGCATGTGTACTTGAACTCAGTGGAAATTGGGGAACCATACCTGAGCAGTACTAAAAATAACTAGATGATATCCCTAAACATGGGCAGTGGAACAAAACCATTCTATTTCCACAGATTAAATACAGGGTTCAGTTCAGAATTTACTGTAGTTTACCCAGATCGATGTACACCTGAAGAAAACTGGAGAGCACAATGGCTGAAACATTACAATAAGAGATGATGACAATAGTTCAAATGTAAATAGTGTAAATAAGTCCTTATTTTAAAAATGAGTTTTTAGAATGTGGACTTATTAATTACGCTACTACAGACAAAAATTAAATATTCTGTCTGGGCAGAGGAAATGGATGTTGATAATTTGTTTGTGTATATATATATATATATATATATATATATATATATATATATAATGTGTGTGTGTTGACTGTGTTTTGAAAATGAAAACATTATATAAATACTTACATACAACAATCTATTTCTTAACAATTAATATATTTAAACCTTAAAAATGGATAAATGTATAGCTGAAAGCACTTGGAATAAAATTAGACAGTTTTTATATACTTTATCCCCCCAAAAAAGAAAAAAAATAATATCACATGAAAAATTATGTAAGAAACTAAATCAAACACCTTGTCTGTTGTATTCAATGAAATGAGCAAGAAAGGATTGCTGCCTAAATAAATACACACACATATATATATATATATATATATATATATATATATATATATATAAAAAAAAGAAGAGGGTGCATAAACGTTTTTTGGTTGTAATGTGGATTTATTGAGAAAAAATATTATACTTTGTTTTACATAATTTCACGACACGTGTTTCTGGTCTGGTCTACTTAACCGTCTTCAGGTGAAAGTGGGGATTTTACATATTATTAAAATAATTAATTTTTCTTCATGTTCAATGTGGAATATTCTCGATATGAGACATTCTGTTTGTGTATATGTGTCACACACACATATACACACATATTTCACAGGGTGACCAAATACAATGATCGCTCACATACATGGACGCACACTCATATACGGGAGACACGAGGAGATATATATATGTGTATGTACACATACATACATTTATGTATGTATATGCGGATGTTGACAACTTAAGAAGTACGTGTGTGTGTGTGCGTGTGTGTGTATGTGTGTGTACTGGTTCCATGTAGCTTGGGAAATATGTGTGTATATGTGTGTGTGTACTGACTACTTGTGGTGGGATAGTGTGTATGTGCGTATGTGTGTGTATGCGTGTATAAGTACAAATAAGTTTACGAATTCCTCGTAGTAAGGAAATATACGCACGCATATATACACGCATGCTGACAGGAACACGCCAAAATAGAAACAGATCCAAGAGCACATAGAGGTCACTAAAACATTAAAAGATTAAATGCCGATAACTACTCGTTGGACAAACCTTAATTGTTTTATGACCCTTCATAGAACTCTTCATTGACAATTCTAGAAAGAAAATTCGGATTGCCAACACACAAACAGAATGTCTCATATCGAGAATATTCTACATTGAACATGAAGAAAATTAATTATTTTTAATAATATGTAAAAATCTCCACTTTCACCTGAAGACGGTTTGCGAGACCAGACCAGAAACACGTGTCGTGAAATTATGTAAAACAAAGTATAATATTTTTTCTCAATAAATCCACATTACAACCAAAAACAAACCCTCTTCTTTTTAATATACATACTTTTCTCTCGTTGGAACCACTACAACATATTTCTTTTATATATATATATATATATTGTCAGCATAACAGTCAAAACAAGGAGTTCAAATACCATTGTTATTAAACTGCTTGTTCATGCTTACTCTGGTCTCCCAAAACACACTGACTCTTCTCACAAGTTACC